TAGTACTACAAAGTTAATAGTGTCACTACTATTTCAAGACTATAGTGCGACAAAGTTAATAGTGTCACTACTATTCTAGGACTGTAGTGTCATCAAGTTAATAGTGTCACTACTGTTCTAAGACTATAGTGTCACCAAGTTAATTGTGTCACTACTATTTCAAGGCTATAGTACCACAAAATGAATTGTGTCATTACTATTTCAGGACTATAGTGTCACTAATATTTCAGGACTATAGTGTCACTAATATTTCAGGACTATATTACCACAAAGTTAATAGTGTCACTACTATTCTAGGGCTATAGTGTCTCAAAGTTAATAGTGTCATTACTATTTCAGGGCTATAGTACCACAAAGTTAATAGTGTCACTTCTATTTCAGGACTATAGAGTCACCAAATTAATAGCGTGGAATGCAGGGCCACAATGGTGAAACTGTAATGAATTTTACATGGGATGTAGTGTCTTAAATATTCCGTTGTAAGTAGTGCCACGATGGTAATATTGTTCATAATGTGCATTGCTATTGAATAGAAATATTTAAAAAAAACTTGGTGACGTGCTCACTGTGGGATCTAACCCAGATTTTTAGTGTTATAAATCCCGAAGCTTACATCAGGGGGAGCAATAGCAGTATTGACAATGTGTGTTACTGTAGAATAAAGAAGACAAACGGTCTCATGAGTTAACAATTTTATTAAAGATTATAAACACTTCTCCAACTGAGAAGTTTTCCATCCTTACAAGTGAGAGCTAAGAGTTAGAATAGCGAACAATTTGATAAGTGTGGTAAAAACATGACCAGAATCAAACTCTTAACTTATGAACTTTGTGTCTTGTATCGTTTTTTTTTCTCCTACCGGTTTCATTCAGAAATTCGTTAAAAAGTCAACGAAACAATAGCCATATTTGAATAATTCCAAGTAATTTATGACGATTTTTTTTTCTACAATACATGAACAGGATACCTGACATACAGACAGACAACTTTGTTCTTGAATATCTTCTCAAATTAGTGTAAGGAGAAATTTAAATCAAAAGAAGACCGGTGATGAAAAGTTAAACGATAGTTTAAAAATGTTATCAAAACTACAACTAACAAAGCCCAGAGTTTCAAAACTAGGTCAATCACCCAGAAATAGTGCAAAATAGGTAGACTTTATTACCTCGCCACGTCGTTATCTTTTATTGAGAGATATCTATTCTCATAGACCATTCACAACCCAAGCACTCAAACTGAAAACGTTAACGATGTCACAGTAAATTGCGTGTCTTGTTCCCAGTCGGGAAATTAAAAGATTTACTAAACTTTTCTGTTTAGATAAGGATTTATGTTAATCCAGAACTTGTTGAGGTATTCCTATTTTTGTATAAGTAAATTAAGGTTTTTTCCTAAGAAAGAAAAAGTCCTTCCAAACAACCAATCAAAGCTGAATTCTAGTAACAGCCATTACGTCAGTGAGAACACTAGTTAACCATAGATTGGTCCTTATTTTGTTTTCGTCACTTTATTAAACAGTCATTATAAACCATTTAGGAGACCAAAGAGCAGCAAATTCTCATCATTTCTTAAAACATCTATCTCCTCAAAGTTGCATTGTTCCTAAGCAATTAGGAATCAACTAATATTTTAATAAAAATTATTCATACATACATTCTGGCTCGAAAAAGTTGAGAAATCCTCATAAACAAGGCGGCAACATACAAAAGAGGATAGTGATTGTAATTTATATAGATTTATGTATATATTTATATATGTATATTATATATACACGTGTGGAACATGCGTCAGTTGCTGACTTTAAAAGTTACTTGTAACTGTGCATATAGAATTAGTTATAAACATATTCATAATTTGTTTTATTTTAATTAATATTAGAAATAACAGTTCAATAAGAGCACAATTAAGCGGGATACGTGATAATAATAACATTAAAGTTCAAAGGTGACGAATCTTTTGACACGTGGGCTAAAAGGAGTGAAAATCTTGCTGAAAAGCTACAATGAAATGTGTAGTATCTGGGATATTCAGAAATGTGACACTGTTCTACAAAGACTCCTGGCTCTAGGATATTCAGAAATGCGACACTGTTCTACAAAGACTCCTGGCTCTAGGTGAACTTTATTTATAACTTAATCGAAACATTAATGCTTACGTAGCTCTCTAAGGAAGTGAGTCGTATGCAGTTAAAGAGGATCCATCGCTATTATCAAGTAACCCGTATTCGCCATTTTGTAGGCAACATTAATAATTCACAATAATATTCCCATAATTATATACTAAATCTTCATACTTAGAGCAATCGTAAACAATCCGAAATATTGAGTTAATATAAACGACTCTTCTGAGTTTAGAAAAGGCACACATTTCTTTTTCTCAATTAACTTCACATTGAAAAACAAGGACGTACGAGTCCTAAAAGTTAGGGTTAACATATTACGTAACTAATCATATAAACGAGCAGTTTTATCGTCTTGTGATAACGTTGTATAAACATTTAAATACATTTTTTTTAACTACAGTAAAGGTTTTTTATAATATTACCTGTGAACTTGAAGTTAAGTTCTTATCTAATGTCAAAGTTCATATTGAAAATTGGAGAAAATTAAATGAAATCTTACTTATGCATAGAGGGCGTTGTTTTATATATCCCATGTGGTTCGATACACAAATATTTTGTTTTGAATATTTGAATGGTTTTATATATATTGCCGAAAATATTGATTTGACATATATCTTTAGGTCTCTAAATGAGACTGCTGTTAAAATCGAACAATTGATATTAGTTGATATAACATGCAAGAAGTTTAGACGAAATTTCACCTTGTGCTCGTTAAGTGTGGTATTATTTGGATTAAAATTAGATCCGCCGCGAATTTGTAAATACTGGAAGGGAACCAGGTACAAGAGATGAACCATATCACCTCTTAAAAAACCCAGTTTATCCCGTTTTGTAATCAATATTACCCCTGAACATAAAAAAAAAATCTGTTTATCAAGTTTCTAACCAGCACCGCCACCAAACATAATAACCAAATCATCCTGTTTGTAATCAGTATCATCACCAAAACATGAAACCAAAACCAAATCATCCTCTTTACTAATCTAATAATTTTTGAAGTAACCCACTAAACTAATGTGAAGCGGGACAATATCTTTAAAAAAATATATATACTTATTTGACAAACAAGCAACGAAGTCTGAGTAACTTGAGAACACAAAAAACACAATTCAGTAACGTTTCGTATTATTCTCGTTTCTTTTGATATAATAATCATGAGATCAATCAAAACATGTGCAAGTTGTTTGTTTGTTTTTCTCCTACAAAACTTGAGTTTTATTTACTCGGTTCCCGTATTTTTTTTTCAGCATCTGATTCAATGCACGGTACGGCGAATTCTAAAGGACAAATTGAATGAGTTTGAAGTTTATTATATGCGCATATAATGCAAATAGTCAATTATTGGACAGCTGCTATCGATTGTCATACAAACCATAAGAAATTTATCTCAAACGACAACATTTTTACCAGGTTGATACTGATAACAATGACTTACGTTTGGCTTTAAAAGTTCTGTTTATTTGTTGGAGTTAATTATAAATTCACGCATATATTTGTGCAATAAATTTCAGAAAGTATATCTCCTGTACAATTTAAAGGATAAAAACATTAATACCCATCAATAACACTGAAACCTGGGGGGGGGGGGGAACGAGGTTTTTAAACATTATTCAAATTTTCTTATCAACTTGTGAATATTCGATCCTCCTAATAATGCGCCACCTGTCGTAAGCTATTTGAAGAAGAAAAATCGAAACATGAGTTTATAAAGAGAGAAAAAGACATGAACAGTTTCCCAAATCGAAAATTAGGCAAGTGATGAAATATAGAAAGTTTATTTAATAAATTTAGTGCCTATTTCTAAATAGTCGCGTTAACCGTGCTACAACGCATGCGCAGATGTCAACAAATTTTCAGCAAGCTACAACGCTAATAATTTACCTGTTCGACTGGTAGAATTTATAAGCTTTAAACAATATTTCGACCAATGCTTTGAAAAGAAGCCATTTCTATATTGTTGAAAGGGATTAGAACTATAAGAAGATTTATTTATATAAGATACGCTGTTCTCTTTGAAAAGAAGCCATTTCGGTATTGTTTACGGGGGGGGGGGTTACAATTACAAGAAGTTTTTGAAATAGGAAATACGATCAACGCTTCGAAAATAAGCCACTTCGATCGATAGTACTGAAGGGGGGTTACAATTACAAGAAGCTTCTAATATAGGAAATACGACGAATGCTTTCAAAAGAAGCCATTTTGGTATTGTTGAAAGGGGGGTAACAATTACAAGAATTTTTTAGTATAGGAAACAAGATCAATGCTTCGAAAATAAGCCATTTCGTTATTGATGAACTAGAATTACAGCTACAAGAAAAATAATAATAAAGCATCCACTCACAATCATTGCGCAATATTTTTTAAATATGGCTGCAAGGGTTGTAAGTTATGCTAACGAGATGATCCAGTCCTAATGTCCTGCCTTAATCCCGATATCATGATTTTTTTTTCATTTAACGCAACAGTGTGTTCTATCACAGAGAACGAGCATGAAAGACAAAGGGTTAAGAGTCATTAAGATAATTCAAATGACAAACAAAAGTTTTTAGCAATGAACCCCTAAAAGATTGAAAACAAATAGTCAAATTGAAGTGCTCATTATAATCATTAGGAATAGAACAATTTTTTTTATATATACAATATCATAATTTGTTCAGAAACGTGACGTTCTACGCCACTTCTGGCGAAATCTTGCATTTCACTCCTATAAATTCGCTCTTTCTCTGTCAGTTTATTTGTTTGATTGGCTAACTAGCACCAATCATCATCGGTGTCACTTTGTGGTCCCACGGGTGTGTCTGCAAACCGTTGATTGGCTAGCTAACATTAATCATAATCCGAGTCACTTTGTGGTCTCATACAGCCTGTCTGCAACCTGTGATTGGCTAACTAGCACCAATCATCATCGGTGTCACTTTGTGGTCCCACGATGTGTATGCAAACCTGTGATTGGCTAGCTAGCATCAATCATAATCAGAGTGACTTTGTGGTCCAATACGGCCTGTCTGCAAACCTGTGATTGGCTAGCTAACACCAGTCATAATCCGAGTCACTTTGTGGTCTCATACAGCCTGTCTGCAACATGTGATTGGTTAACTAGCACCAATCATCATCGATGTCATTTTGTGGTCCAATACGGCCTGGCTGCAACCTGTGATTGGTTAACTAGCACCAATCATCTTCGGAGTCACTTTGTGGCCCCATATGGCTTGTCCGCAAACCAATCAAGGTTGCAACTTTTCCTCTTCTTTCTCGCTGTCTTTGGCCTGGCTTGTAGCCGTTAGGCATTGGCAACGGAAGCTGTCTAGAACCTCTTCCGATCGAAGCGGCAGCTTCGAAACTTAGCGGTTCATTATTATGACCCCGAGAGACAAACTGTCTGTCCATATATGACATTGTATGGTGATGGCCAATATTGCGAGTCTGCTTCTGACCACGTGGCAAACTGACACTACTAGCCGCCCTTCCGCCTGGCCTTAGAGACAGGCTGTGAAGGCCAGAACCCGGAGTAGTTCTTTGTTGCCAGAACGGCAGTTGGGAATTTGGCAGACGAGTGGGCGAGGCGTTCACTTTGGGAAAGTTAATGTTGAATTGGGATTTGTTAACGGGCATGGGCAGTGTAGGCGAACGAGACACAATAGGAAAGTTTATTCGTTCTATGGATCGAACGTCAAGACGCAAAGTGGAGGGCTTGTTGGGGGTGGGTGGCAACTTCCTCCCTCGCGACACACGCTGCAATGGTAGGCTGTGCGCAGAAGCTGGGCTCGGGCTACGGGATCGATGCTCTATCGGTACCCTACCGTAAAATTCACTGTGGGTTGGAATGATTTTGGGGCTAGGACTACGAGATGGTCTATAGAGGCACGTCGTTCGGTACTCTGGACTAACACTCCGACTCCTTCCGGGTGATGGAGAGGAGATCCGCCATGGCGACGGCTTGCCGAGCATGGAGCGAACTGGTGATCTTCCTCTAAACGGGGAACCTTGACCAGATATACCAAATTCATTCTCACGGAGTTTGGCTGCATGTCCAGAAGACAGAAAAAAAAAGAGATCAAAATCGTGTTATCGTTAATTTGAGAATTTACAGAAACATTACACAAAGATAAACCATAATAAAAAGCATAAACTCGTAATGCAGATGGCGGTTCGGTGGTCCAACTATATGTTATCTTTCCACCAATTATAGCTTTTTAGAGAAATTTCAGTGTTTTTGTAGGAAATATTAAAGACACACAAATAATTAAACACATTTTTCATATTTTCTGTTAGTTCATACTGGAAGTTAACAGCATAAGATTTTATTTTTTGACGTTTAAGCTTATTGACAGAACTCTGTCATTTTATTTAAGATATTACTTGTTGATTAATAATAATTGATTATTTTAATAGGCAAATCTTCCAATTTAGTCACATCTAAATGTTCATACCTGAATTCTTGAGGAGGTTGGCTTTTAGATAGGCAGATAAGAAAATTTATACCACTTTACCTTTTTTTTTTCACTGCTACTAGATTCCTGTTTGACCTTTTCCATTACCTGTTTTTTTCTCTGCTACTAGATCCCTATTTGACCTTTTCCATTACCTGTTTTTTCTTTCTCTGCTACTAGATCCCTATTTGACCTTTTCCATTATCTGTTTTTTCTTTCTCTGCTACTAGTTCCCTATTTGACCTTTTCCATTACCTGTTTTTTCTTTCTCTGCTACTAGATCCCTATTTGACCTTTTCCATTATCTGTTTTTTCTTTCTCTGCTACTAGATCCCTATTTGACCTTTTTCATTACCTGTTTTTTCTCTCTCTGCTACTAGATCCCTATTTGACCTTTTCCATTACCTGTTTTTTCTTTCTATGCTACTAGATCCCTATTTGACCTTTTCCATTATCTGTTTTTTCTTTCTCTGCTACTAGATTCCTGTTTGATCTTTTCCATTACCTGTTTTTTCTCCTCTGCTACTAGATTCCTATTTGACCTTTTCCATTACCTGTTTTTTTCTCCTCTGCTACTAGATTCCTATTTGACCTTTTCCATTACCTGTTT